TTAAAAAAAAAAAAAAAAAAAAAAAATTAAAAATCATTAATTAATTTTTTTTCTCGTCCAAAAAGTTGACAAAAAAAAAGGGTAAAACAAAAAAGTTGGTCTGCTCCACGAAAAAAATTTTCAAAATTAAAATAAAGACGATTTAAAAAAAAATAAATGCGTTTTTTTAAACCATCTCTTATATGTTTGCGGATTTGAACAATTTGCCTGCCGCATTGCTCGCCAATGTAGCTTGAGCGCATTGCGCGGCGTTGTCACTCCTCAAGTGACGATTTAGAGCATCTAACCTTGCGAAAGCGCGACCACAATTCTGACAGACATGAGGTTTCAATCCCAAATGTAATTTCTGATGACGTTTTAGATCGTGCTGCCTTGCGAAGGCTCTCGGGCAACCGGGGTAATTACATATAAAAGGTCTTTCGTCAGTATGAGTACGGAGATGAGATTTTAAATTGTACTGTCGCGTAAAAGTTTTCGGGCAATGCTCATGAGGACAAGCAAATGGGGCTAAGGATTTTGAAGATTTTCGTGGCTGCTTGGTCGGAGACAAAGTTTCAATATGAAGACGTTGCGTCAGATCACCAGGCAGAGACTTGCGGCGATTGTGCTGTTGAAAGGCGACTTCCGATTTCACGGGAGTTGAAGCGATCTTTCGAAGAAATATGGCATCATCAAGTGATTTACGACGTGCGGCGTCTGAAGCCAGATTGTCGACTGCTGTGCTAAAATAATCTCGAGCATCTAAGGTGGTGAGCTCACGTGGGAAAAATGATTTGGTGTCCATGTCAAATAATTGATCCGCCGTGGAACTCGAAAGTTTTCCTTGAGATATTGGAGATGGTGGCATCACACCCACAAATGAAGCTTCTGCGCCAGGCATTGTAAAACAATCCAAAGGATGTGAGATCATTGGACCTGAAAAAATCGGGAGCAAAAGGTTAGAGTTGATGATGATCTTTATTAAAAAAAAAAAAAAAGGGATAATAAACATTACGCATCTCGCACATGATAATTGAAAAAAATGGAAATTACCTTGCGTTGTATAAGGGTTCAAATGACTGAACGGGATATCTTTGGCTAGTGACAATGCCACGTTATAGTCGTGTTCATGACCTAACGACTGAGACTCCATCTTGATTGATAATGAGGGACTTGTGAAACCGGAAGGAGGAGAATCATGAGTGAAACTATCAGTAAGATCCAAATCTGAACAAGTTTCAGGAGATGAAGAAACTTCAGGAGATAAAGCATTTGGGGTGCCAAATGAGAACAGGGGAGGATAATAGTAATAATTTCCCTCCGTTATGGCTAGGGGATCCATCATCGATGTGGGGGAGTAACTCATCGCATCTGGAGCATAATAAGGCATGAATTTTCTGTGAATATCATCTTCGGGAGAAGAATAATTTGTGGGAGACATTGTGTGTGTCATTGAACCAGGACGTCCAAGAGCCAATACTGAACAAGCCCCAACCGATGTTGATATTTCTTTTTGCTGTTTCATTGTAAGATGTTTTAGATGTGTACGTAAAAAAAAAAGACAAAAATAAAAAAAATAAAGTTCGCAAGTACAAAGAGGCGATGTATTATTCGTGTACTTTAAGTGAATGGTGGCGAAGTGCGGATGTTGAAAGGTAAGCCTACGGAAAGGCAAAAGGGCTCGAAATTTTGGAAAAAAGGGAAGAGAAAAATAAAATAAAAAAAAAACAATTTAAGAGAAATAAAATTTCAAGTAAATGACAAAAAAGGCTGCCGTATCTCTATCAATACAGTGCTGCTTTAAAGGGCAAGAAAATTTTAAAACGATAGGTCATTCAGAATGAGGAACGAAACAAAAAAAAAAAAATTTGGGAGGGCTTCAAGGGCTCATATTTGTAAGATTTCTCAATCGCTTTATTTAAATTACATAAAAAAAAAAATTTTTTTATTGTGTAATCAAATTAATAGATGTAAATAATAAACATTATTTGGAAATTTTTGTTTATAATATAACGAACGAATTAAACTTCATGATATCTTTAGACGTTTGATGTACTTTTTGATGTACTTTTTTTTTATTTCAAAAATTTTTTATAGTGGCGTTAAAAAAAAAAAGAAAAGAAAAAAAAAAAAAAAAAAAAAAACCTATTGCGCGCAGGTATTTAGTTGTTAGTTCGGAATAGTTCGAAATTTTTTTTCCAAAATAGTTTCTTATTATTTTTCCTATTCGAGATATACCCATCCTTTGTGTTCAGTATCGGACTTAAATAAACCTGTAATTAACTAACAGTGAAAACCATCTGAGCCTTCTTTTTTTCTTTTTTCTGTTGAACAAATTATTAAAATTGAAATAAGCCTAAACACATAATCGGAAACATTCGGCGGCCATATAAAAAAATATTTAAATTTTTCGGAAATCCTTATTGTAAAAATAGGATTCCAATTTTTTTTTATATATTTGAGCACATGTTCATTGAGTAAAAAAAAATTTCCGGTCGATCGTTGACTTTACAAGACCGTTATTCAACCTCGCGTTCCTTCTTTTTTTATAAAAGAGCGACTTGAGAGAAAGAGGCTTAAGGGAAAATAGGAAAAATACGTGGCTTTGTACGTGATTTTTTGTCCTTGAAATGAAATTTATTTATGGCTTATACATAATTGAGAAAACAAAAAAAAAACAAGCAATTGTTCCAGATCTCGAACGAAAAAAAAAAAAATACACGTTTAATTCACAAAATTTTGCGTCAATTTTCGATATAGTAAGGATGCGCGTAAATAAATAAAAAAAAAAAAAATTTGACTTTTTACCTTTTTTTTTCCTTTTTGATTTTTTTCTTGAAAGTTTAAAATCAAGATAATTAATAAATAATGCGCTTATATTTCGTAGGTGCACGGACGGAAATCATTAATGTGGTGATAGCAACTTTTCGGGACCGAAAGAACGGTAATCGGCGTATTGTTACTGACATGATGACTAAAAGTGGTATAAAATAGAAAACGATTTGCTGGAAATTGTTTGATGTGAAGCCGTGGAATGAAATCTTTGTAAACGTGTCTTTTTCATTAGTTAAATCACAGACAAGCCGCATTATAATCAACTAAACAGAAAAAAAAAAATTTCCTGATAATCATCTTGATTTTATTGAGATTTTGCCGCCAAATGCAATTAAAATATGTAAGTTAATGTGTGTAAGATTAAAATACATAATGTACGTGATCTTAGAATTCGTACTTGGGGTGTGTACCATAAGGTTATTTAATTTATTTTTATATATACATGTCATGAATTTTTGACACCTTTCGTTCTTCATGTTGAGCTTACCAGGATTATCATCTAATTCCGCCCGGAATTATAGGAAATGGCTGTGTTGAAAGTAAGTTTGTTTTTTTTTTCTCAATGACGAATTCTTAGTCAACTGTCGCCATCCCGCATGGCAACGAGAACTAGTTATCTCTCACACCGCAATAACTTTTTAATAAAGCTCTAAAGGTTTTGATCATAAACCAGTTTTTTTTTCCTTTCCTTTAAAAAAAAAATATAAATAAATAATAAATAAACAATAAACCGTTTACCTTTGATGGTGTTACAAAATGAAGATTTTACAATGAGATAACAATATAACAATATAACAATACAAGTTCCTTTTTTCCCCCGTTCTCATGTAATTGGCAAAATGGCTTTGCATGATTTATTTGTATATGTTGGCGTGCGGGATTTCCCACTGCGCAGGAAGGAGGCAGTGAAATCCGGTTCTTCCTCAAGTATTTTCCCTCCACAATAAACCTATCACCAATACGAGGCATTGCCGCAATGGAAAAAAAAATAAATATTTTTGTTTAATTTACGCGTGAAAAAGGAAAGTGCTTGTGTTTGAATGAAAAGATAAGGTTTGATTTTTTGATTACTATATCAAACATCATGACAGCTGATTTGATCACTTATTACAATTTTACTGATTTATTAATTGTTTAATGATTTAAAGTAAAATTAAAATTGCTCAATCGTAAATCCCACGTAACCGTAAAGAAAGTAGTCTTGTAACACTTGCAAATCAACATTCACTGGAAAGGAAAACAGTTGTAACACAAACAAAAACTTTTTTTTTTCATACGCGGAATCTTCCAAATAAAGTACAAATAACAATTGTATAATATAATTGGAATTATTAAAAAACGTTCACAAAGCCACGAGGAAAAAAAAAAATTAACCAAAGATATCGTAAAAATCTGTAAACCATAAGAAAATCATGAATTCCCTTTTTTTTTTATTTTTATTTTTTTATTTTATTGAAAAGCACTCTTTTGATAATCAATAAATCCTTTTTTTCTTTATTTTTATTTTTTTCATTTTCATTTTCATTTTTTTTTATTGCTCTTGGAAGGAATGTGAGAATGTGCGGGTATGTGTGTCATTATCTGTCATAATGAATCAATGTCGATTTATGGATTTTTTTTTCCTGGTCATCTATGACGATTCATATTCCATTAATTTTCCCATGTCAACAATCTCAGTTACTTCGGAAATCTGGTACATTTTCTTACTCATGGGGAATGTGATTTCTCGCACGGGACAATTTTATTTGTCACACGCGTTATCATGTTACACACAATAAATAAAAAAAGTTGGAATTGAAATAAACCTTGTGTGCATTGGTTAATAAAATGTCACGGGGATATATTCAATAATTTTGTAATTTTGCGAGTCCTTTTTTCAAGAATTTCAACCTTGGATAAAAGTAATTATGTTTGGGGATGACTGGTAAGGAATCGACGATCTCACAGGACGTTACAAGTTCATTTAACTTCATTTATCAACATTTCTTATTTTGGTATTCAGGTTTATCTCGTTGTTCATGACCTTTATAATATCTCACTAACCAGATTTTTTGTCAAAATTTTCCAATTTTCACGTTTAGGTTTATTTTTACAATCATTCATAGTTAATAACCGTTTAAAGGAACAATGATTTTTTTATACACGCATATATCCTTAAATCAACTTCTCATGTATAATTTTGATTCATTTGACATATGATTGACAATGTGATATTTGAGGTTCATCAAGTTTTTCATTTTATCCACCAAATAGATTTTCCACAACAACCAGAAAAAGATTTATTATAGGTCTCGATAGACGACCTCATCAGTCATTGTATTTCGATCAAATTCCGCTTACACAATCAATAATCGGCAATCTCCTGTTTATATTCGGTAAATTCATCGGAGAAATAATGTAGATCATGTTATACCATATCTGTATTCCCTTCCATGTACCTGGTAAAAAGGTATTATGATGTTCAACAACATCTTTCACATGAATTGAAATTTACACTAAGGTAGATTATACAACAATAATATTTTATATTGTTATAATAAATTTTTTTTAAATCTAACCATTTCCTTTCTTAATTTAACTCAAAGAATATTCATTTTCATTGTTATGTTATCTTATCTAACTGGATCCCCTTCAAAACATCTATCTGGTAGAGAAAAGCATCGTGCGTGTTCAACTAACATCTTTACTATTTCACATGAATATAATGGATGTTAATATAAGGTAAATATGTTACATATCTTTCCATAATTATCTTTGACACTTTTTATATTGTTCTAATCTAAATTTTAAATCTAACCTTTTTTTTCTTTATTTACTCTAGAAAAAAAAGTAATTTACCACAATTATACCATAACTGTCTTAACCTTGCTAAATTGACCAAACATTTTTTTCTTATTAACATTAGGAAGGAACAACCTTTTTGGCCCACAATTTATTTGTCTTGATGTTATTGTATTGGGCACGTAAATCATGACTCATAATGTGATTTCCCTCCATCATTTCAGGAGAGAATAAATTATAGCAAAAACGTTCGAATTACGCGTTCGTGTATACGGATCATATTCATTTATTTTTATGAGCAGAATGAGCAAAGAATTTATGTTTTTAATCGTATTTTGTTTGAGTTACGTGTAATAAAATGATATGAGTATCTCGTATTCTTCTTTTTATTTCTTTTCTATCTCTTTTTTTTTTTTTTTTTTTTTTTTTTTGACATTATTAACTTGATTTATTAGATTATTAGTAGAAGTTGGATACCTCCTTATTATCGACGTTCGTGGTTTTTTTCCCGGCTCCGTATATTTTTAGTCATGTGATTTAATCCATAAATTTTAGAAACTGCCCTAATTTGTGATGATCGTTAAACCGGATCATATGACATTTTGTTTGAAATCAAATTTTTTGCTTCTCTAAAGTTAAGACTTGTGCGTTTACTTACAGCAGGGCATTACAGTGCAATTTTAGACATTACTTTCCTTTTACTATTTATTATCAAAGATATCATAATAAAAAAAAAAAGGTAAATTTCATGGACGTCGTATTTAAACTTTAATATAAATAGTAAATTTTGCAATATATATGTATATATATATATGTTACAGAATTAATAACGAAAAATTAGATCAAAATAATAATTAAATAATAAATATATATATATATAAAAATAATAAGTAATATTATGTCAGAATAATTATTTCCTTTTTCCTTTTTCATCTTTCTTACTCAATTGATCTACTGTTTTTCTCAAATTTCTATTATTCTCTCTGAGAGTTTTGTCAGCAATCTCTTCATCCCAACCGCAACTTACTAACCATCTAACCGTGAATTTATGTAGTTCTTCTCTAGCCTTTCCTTTCCAAGCCTTTTCAACTTCTTCTTTAACTACATTCTTTTTCTCTTCTTCTACTTTTTTTGTTTTTATAATAAAAGAGCCACTAATAGGTCGATGATCTGATATTTTACATTCATGTCTTGAATAATGCTCTAGTTTAACATTATCATTACTTTCATTTTCAAGTCTTGAATCAGACTCTTCATGTCTCAATGGATGCTCTGGTTTAAAGTATTTAGGACGATATAATATTCTATCACACCACGCTGGGATCCTTTTTTTTTCTGACGTATCATATTCATCTTCTCCAGGATTATATTTATATGTCGGATCAAATTTTATTCTCCCTTCTAAAAATTGCCCAAGACGAAATCCTGCATTCGTATTTCTTTGTTTAACTAATTGATCATGTTCATATAAGAATTTATAATCTTTGTTTTTTATAGCTTTAATTACTTCATCTCTTGTTAAATTTATCCTATAATTTAAATCCCCACTAAAGAATACTATTTCGTGATCTAATACCATCGATCCATCTCCTCCCTTAATGAACACGTATTCATTTTCTCGCCACACAAACTTATCTTTTGCGGCTTTTGATGGAAATGTCGTATAATCCAATATCTTTGCCGCGTCCGTATTTCTTTCCTTGGTCTGTAGTTGTCCTGCTGCTAAATGACAATTCACAAAACATATTGATGTATCATCATATATAAATCTCGTCGCTATCGAACCTTTATTGCCATGATACCCTTTTAACCCAGTTTTCTTTATCGCAACATCACTATCTCTAATATGTTCCCTTTCGGTTTTCTTTGCGAAAATGCATGTAAATAATCCAACAAGATTATCCGATTCCAAAACTTCGTATTTCTGACCAACCACTTGAACTAACTTATCATGCCATAACTTATATCGCTGCGTTATGTTTTCATTTAATTGTTTGGCATTTTTCTTTTTTGTCATTAACATGGTTTCTTAATGACAAAAAAAAAGTTTAATTAATTGTTTAAAAGTTTAACAACAAAATCGAATGATATTATTACTCACTTGCGGTCATCTTCTTTGATTCCAGGTTAATAATTTCTTGAAATCCAAAGACTACTATATCAGGTGACTTTGTGCTTTTGATCCAATTGTTAAGGAATTGCTCACCATCAGGAGATCGTTCTAAATCTTCTGGTTTTGATGCGTCGATATTCCATGAGCATATTAACACTTTAACATCCCTAAAAAGACAATAATCTTTCTCTCTATCAAACATTTGATCGGCTAAAAAATAAAATCGTTATTATTAAGTAGAATTAAAGTATTTTTCGTAATACCATTTTCTAATAATTATTCCACGTACCTATCCAATCCTCTTGCATCAAGCCATCCCATACAATGATTTGACCTTCATCGCTTAAGCTAGCAACTTGCAATCTTTTAACTCTCCATAAACCAGCATTATCCAACTGCATGTCAATAATTGGAGATTTATGAGCTTGCCAATCCTTGATTACTACCCAAGGACTAGATTGCACGTCATATATGTAAATCATACCAGTTTTGAATCCAACCCAAAGATAATTGCCTACGCCCAATAAAGAATTAATGCAATACATTGATACAATCAAAGAGAACACGGTTTTATGCGTTTGAGCATCATGCACACTAATTTTTCCATCGTCATGTCCAGTATAAACAAAAAAAGAATTACCCGTTTGTGTCATACATCTAATATTTCCTACTTCAAATCCCAATTCAATTCTTGCCATATGGGCGTCGTCAAGTGGATTATAAATTTCAATCGATTTACCATATGATAACCATAAATGGTGTCCGACTACAATAGCACAATTCGGTTTTGGTAAAACCTTTACAGTTTGCGGTTTTGAATTAAGTGTGACAACTCCACTATCATCTTCTGACCATATTTGTAATTTACCACTATCATCTAAGGTCCACAATTGCAATTGATGACGTAATATGAAATTAATTGGTGAATTATGAGCTTTCTTATTTTTCTCAATCTGTTTCCCACTACTATCTATATCAACGGCATATAAGTAACCATCTTGAGCCCCACACCAAATATAACGACCAACCTCTTCTATGCGACGAGTCGGACGCCAACATAAGCTTGTTATAGAATCATCACAAGGGACACTACGAAGATTTGAACCATTCTCTAATGACCATATACGAGTTTGGCCTGAACCTGTAATTAAAAATTCCCCTGCGATGGCAAAAGTACGAGTTGTATTTTTACTATTAATATCTTGAATGTTATGAAATTTTGGCGGGCGTCTATTAGCACGAGTTGCATCTGGAGCATCTAATAAAGAATCTTCCAAAGAATCTGAATCTGAACTAGAAGCTTGAACGTCTACTTTTCTTGTGACTTTCGTATGCCTGCTTTTTTTATCATTATTCTGCTCCATATTAGGTTTTCGCGGTGGCAATTGTGGGCGAATAGGAAGCGCTGGAGCTTGTCTATCTGGTGGTCTATTTAATCGTCTTGGAGGTAGAGAAGGTCGATCATTTTCATTATACTTTGGAAAAAAATTAGGCACTAAATTTTCGAGTTTTCTTGGAGATACTGATTGACTAGCACTACGTTGTAAATTATAAGTTGTATCAATTAAATTGTCGCATATAGGTTTATTTCTTTTCATAACATTAGATGGAGCAGGAGTATGACTATGCCTTCTAGGCCTTGAAGATGAAGACGTGATCATCGTTGAAGTTTTAGTAGAATCATGTAGTGGAAGCTCATTGTCCATTGCATTTTCATCAGCAAAAGGATCAACTTCTTTGGAATCATCAAAAGGGTTATCATCGTCCTCTAATAAGTGTTGAAGAGGTGCACTATTAGGAAGATTTAAAAGAGTAGGTGACAAATTATTTTTTAATACTGAAGGTGGTGGTAGTATGATAGGTTTAATCCCTCCAATTGGTGGTTTGGATCTTGGAGGTATTGGAGGGGGAGATTTTAATGCATTGACGGCATTAACTACGTTAACGGCATTCTTAAATGAATTTTTTTGTGATTTTGACGGTATTTGACCATTTATTTCATTATCGGAAATTTTTTTAAGCTCTCCAGATTTATATTTATTATGCAATAGCTGTTTATGTTGTTGATGAGCCATGGTAACAACATTAGGAAAAGATAATTTGTTTTTTGCGTTGGTAGTTTCATTCGTATCATTGTTGTTACTCAGTTTCTCAAATTTAGACTTTATTAAACCAATAGATCCATGTGGTGTCTGTTCTAAATCAACTTGAGGGCTGTCATTCTTTTCACCAGCTGTATTTTGCTCCAACTGTGCTAACAAAAGAATGACTAAAATTAGGATTCAGCGTAAAAAAAAAAAGATAAAAAAAAAAAAAATTTATAACATACCAGTATTTACAAACGTTGTATGCTTTGATATCCTTTGAGGATTTGAAGAGTCCATGATATTCATGTAATAATATTAAGTAATCGGATTTGAAATAATTCAATTAATCACAGATTAATTAATTTATTTATTTAAATTTTAAAAAAAAAAAATTTAAAACGATCTATTTTCTAAAAAAAAAAGTCTATAATTTCAATGGAGAATTTAAAAGAAATTATAATAATGAGAAATGTTCGTAAATCTATCCAGTTTAAAAATGTTGAACGAAATAATCTTTCAACTTTCAAATTGAGGACCAAAAGTCATGTGATTATGTATGAAAGGTGAAAGTGCATGTGTCAAGAAAAATGAAAATTTTCCCAAATTTGTCGAGACATGGTAAATCACATGATTCTCAGTAAAATAGTCACTTTTTTCAACTGTGTTTATATTATTTGTGTGAATTTGGTAGATTGAAAAAAGTCAGATGATTGTCGCACCTGATATCCCATAATTGGAAGACCATATATGATTTCCATTCATTATTTCCGTTAAGCTAATTGATTATGATCCTAAAATAAGGTAAAGAATTGTTCATCTCGTTCTTAACGATTACAGTTATAAACTTCAAATACAAAAGCAATTGAAAAAGAAGCAGAAATTATAGAAAATTAGTTATTTTTTAATTTATTTAAATATTTAAATATTTTTTAAATGAAATAAATATATTATTAATAAATCTTATTAAATAATAAAAAACATAATTTTTATTGAAATATTAAAAATAAATAAGTTATTATAAAGTATATAATTATATCATATTTTGATATGATTACTGGATTTTTTAGGTTATATTGGATCAGTCAAGTTAAATCACAGGTCAATCTAACATAATTTGAAGCTCTAATTAGGTTATAAGTTTGATGTTGACCTAAAATTTGTCTCCTAACCTGGATTTTTCAGATCAGATCATATAGTAGGTTGCAAGCAAATCACTAAATTAGATATATACTTTTCTAAAATTCTTAATGATTAATATATCAATTAATAATTTATATCCAATATGTCTTCCTTAATTATAACAAATAATAATAATAATCATATAACAATGATTATTAATGATTCTCTTTCTTTTAATTTACACTCATCACATGACTACCCAACTCTTATCGTAAATAATGATTTAGAAAATTACATAATAATTAAAGGTACTTGCCTAAATTTCCAAAATTCTATAATTAATTTTGGCAAAATTTTAATAAAAGTTTAATATAATGTTGGTTAAATTTTTCCAATTTTAGCATTTACTATAATAGTTCATCATAGTTTTAGTATAAGTTTTTATAAAATTTTAATATGGTTTCAGTAAAATTTCAACATTTCAGTATTTTAGTAAATAAAAGTTCTTTAGTTTCGTTAATAACCTTTATAGTGATAATGAAATTTAATTTTAAATAAAATACCTTACTTTTACTACACATAATATTCATTTTATTCATAATAATATTAAAATTAGCAAAATACTAAATACCTTCTATCAAAAAAATGCTAATTTTTTTATTTTATTTAAAACTTGGTATTAATCTTCTCAAGCATTCAGATGTTCTTCTAATTCTAATTATATTATGCTTTAGAGTTCTGTATTTAATAAATTTATAGATATTGATTTTCTTATTAGCAAATCTTAATCTTAACATATTGCAAAATAATTTTTGGATATATCAGTAAATTTAATAGGATATAATATTACATAAACTTACATTCTATATAGGGTGTTCAGGATTTGTTGATTATGATTTTTCAACAATTTTGACATTTTTTTTGCGATTTTAGTATGATTATAATTTTTAGTATAATTTTGTGATTTTTATGTTATATAAATTTGATTGGATAATCTAAATGTTTTTTGTTAGATCAACTTCTAACTTTTACTCAAAAAAAATGGTTGCTCTTCATATACACTTAGTATAAAGTATAGAATATTGAGAAAATTATATTTTATAAGACAGTTTATTATAGTATTAATTTTGCAATATAGAAGTTAACCATAAAAGAAAAACTCTGTAGATAAACATTTAATTATAATAAAACATCTGGAAATGTTTTCAGTAGAATCACATTACAGATCATATGATTTACTATGCCTCATAATTTAATTTTACTAGAAAGATTCTCATCTAAATAACAAAAATTATAGAAATGATTCTTTTTTGTTAATTCAAAGAACTTTGCTATTATCATTTGAAAATACATTAAATAAAAAAGAAAAATTAAATATAAAAGTTGTTGAAGCCTTTTTTCTTGCAGATATTCTCTTAAAGAAAATTGAAAAATTAAAATCTTTTTTATTAAAACATTGTAAAAATGGTATAAAATTATATTTATATTTTAATTTTATAATATTTTTATTATTAATAATAATTTATTTATAAGAAGGTTAATTAGTTTAATTACTAGTGCAAATCAACTTTGTGAAAAGTTTCTTTCCTTATCATATGATTTAGATTTAAAATTAAAAAATAAAATTAATGATAAACTTATTTGTTTAACAATTGATAAAACAACAAACCGTTGTGACTGACATACTATCAATATTTTGTTTAGTTTTGGTAATCAAACAAAATTAGCTAGAATTGAATTTTTAGATAATATAAATGCTTTTTCTATTTCTCAATTTGTAATGAATACATTTCATTTTTATAAAATTCCCTATAAAAATATTATTTTTTTTATAACAAATAATGCCTCTTATATGAAAATAGCATATTCTCATTTAACTCCTTTTTTACCAAATATGAAATAAAATTGTTATTTAGCACACATTTTTAATTTGATTAGAGAGTCATGGATTAATTTTAAACAGTTTGAATTGGTTAATAAATTAGTTGCAAATTTAAAGCAATATTTATTTATAATTTACAAAGAAAAATCTAATGAAAAGAACATTTATTATAAAATAATATTGAATCCCCTACTTTAACATCATTACCTATAAAAACAAGATAGAATTTATGGTTTTCTTTTTTGTATTGGATTAAACCTTCATATCCTTATATAATTACATTTATTAATGCAAAATATAATATCAACCATGATTCAAAGGCTATCCAATACTTTTATAACTTTTTCAAAACCAAAATTATGTTTTAAATGTTAAAATTTTTATGTTTTATTACATATATTTGTAATTAAAGCTCTGAACGGTTCGGATCAATCCGAAAAATTTTCAGATCGGTAAAAAAATCAATCCGAAAAATTTCGGATTTTTTTCGGATTATAATTCAATCCGAACCGAAAAAAATCCGAACCGATGGGAAAATTTCGGATTGATCCGAAGTATCAGTTAATAATAAACGCCTCCGAATTTTGGGGCATTTTTTATTAAGAAAATAACCGGTAAAAGTCGCATCCGAATTGTCGGAAGCGACTTTTAAAAATACAATAAAGTCAAACCCGAATTGTCGGAAGCGACTTCTATTAGAAAAAAATACTAATAAAGTTGCCTCCGACAGTTCGGGTGCGACATTTATTATAAAAAAATAGTCGCACCGACAGTTCGGATGCGACTTTATTATCATATTTTATAATAAAAGTCGCCTCCGACAATTCGGATGCGGCTTTTATTATTATTTTTTATAAAAAAGTCGCCCGACAGTTCGGATGCGACTTATAATAAAAGCCGCCTCCGACAGTTCGGATGCCGCTATTATTATTATATTTTATAATAAAAGTCGCCTTCGACAGTTCGGATGCCTCTTTTATTATTATATTTTATAATAAAAGTCGCCTCCGACACTTCGGGTTCAACTTTTCTAATAAAGCCGCACCCGAACTGTCGGAGGCGGCTTTTTTTAAACTTTCGGAGGAGAATTTATTAACATTTTTTCTATTTAAGTCGCTTCCGTCAGTTCGGATGCGACTTTTTCTAATTAAGCCGCACCCGAACTGTCGGAGGCGGCTTTTATTATCGCATCCGAACTTTCGGAGGAACCTTTTATTAATATTTTTTCTAATAAAAGTCGCCTCCGACACTTCGGGTGCGACTTTTTCTAATAAAGCCGCACCCGAACTGTCGGAGGCGGCTTTTATTATCACATCCGACAGTTTGGATGCGACTTTTATTATTATTTTTCATAATAAAGGTCGCCCGACAGCTCGGAGGCGTTTTATTATCATTTTTTCTAATAAAAGTCGCCTCCGACACTTCGGGTGCGACATTTTCTAATAAAGTCGCACCCGAACTGTCGGAGGCGGCTTTAATTATCACATCCGACAGTTTGGATGCGACTTTTATTATTATTTTTCATAATAAAAGTCGCCCGACAGTTCGGAGGCGTTTTATTATCATTTTTTCTAATAAAAACCGCCTCCGACACTTCGGGTGCGACATTTTCTAATAAAGTCGCACCCGAACTGTCGGAGGCGGTTTTTATTATCGCAACCGAACTGTCGGATGTGATATTTATTAGAAAAAATACTAATAAAAGTCGCGTCCGAACTGTCGGAGCGATTTTTATTAGTATTTAATAACCCGAAATTTCGAAAATTTTCGGATTATTCAAAAGTTTCGGATCAGTTCGATTCGGATTGACATTTTTTGGATTTATAATCCGAACCGAACTGAACTGAAAATCCCGGATCGGATCGGATTGGCCTCTAATCCGAATCGAACCGGGATTTTCGGAGCTTTAATTGTAATAGGTAAGAAAATTTTTAATTAAATTAAAAAATTTTAATTAGGTTGGTTAATGATTTAAAATTCTTTAAAATCTGAAATAAAACAATAGCTCTATTTGTTTATTCAAGAATATTTTGTCTTCAAGCTTTTATTTTATAAGGAAAAATGACTTCTCTGATATTGTTATACGAGTCGATTACGAAGTCTACCGACTGAAAAATAGACTTCAACACGTATAGCAAGGTTTTAGGTATCTGAAGGATAATAACTTAATTTA